GCACAAACACACACGCTTCAGATAATTTTACGCTTGAATTGATTCCGTTCATCCAAAGCTGCTTGGACACGGTCCACAAACAGTATTGCCCATGAATGGGATGTGCTGTTTTGAGCAACTTGTCGAGAGGTGTGTGTGTGTGTTTGTGTGTGCGTACGTAGTGTCGAGGGGAGTTCTCTTGCATTGTTCATACAAGTCACACAATAACAGTATTGTTGTGTTTCTCCTCGTAACGAACAAATGCATCAGATCAAGTTTACTCGACTTTCAAACGTTTACTGAAACGATCAGAAGTGGACATCGACATGTTTGGTTGTGTTGCCTTGTTGGTGTGTGATCTGAGTGCAACGAAACATAGTAATGTTTAAAAATCGATAAAAAAATTTCTCGTTTGAGACGTGAATGTATGTTCAAATGCTCGCATCGAAAAATTCAACTCCCGTGTACCTGGGTATACGTCATGACACTGCGTCCTGATTGGTCAACAGCGTCAATAATTGGACCAATCAGATTACGGTTCAACAGCGGCATAGCGTCAATCGCATGTGCACGAGGGTAGGTTGGTGGATGAGGTTCTGTGCGCCGATTGGCAGCACAGTTATAATGAACCGCCCTTCCGTCACCTGGTGTAATCCATATCTGACATGTGAACATTCCAAGTGGTTCTTTACTCTGTCTCCTGGCTCAAGGCCTCCAGTATAATTGATCGGACATCTTGTATCGCTTTCTGATGAGTTAAAACTAGCATCAATCATTTCCATAACGTCACAAGGACATAATTCAATCTTTCATTCTCTGCGATCCACCTGCTTAATGACATAGCAACGACATAAACATATATTTGAAGGATATTATGATAAAAATGACCTAATACGCCACGATCATTAGCTTAGTCATCTGAAAAACTTTAAGGTGAACATCTGCAACGGTCTGAATCCGGGAATCCTTATTGTTATAGATCGGACTAACTAGTGATTTATTAAATGTACGTTGATAAGGTGCAGCGAACTTGCTTATCATATTTAACCATCTTAGAACTATTTATCAAAACGAAAGAATATCAGATACAGTCTACTCCACGCCTAATTTCATTCATTTATTGGATAGAAAGGAACCACCCATCTAGTCATCAACTCTGAGTAATTCCTTTATACGTGAATTCGATTTCTGTGACTTGCCTCAACCTTCCTCGGTACCTGTCACGTTTCCTAGTTGTATCACATATTTCGAACTCAACTGTTTTTTTTTCTAATTGACGTTTTATGAAATGAGATGGAAGAAACTTGTTTAAGCTGTCTAACATGATCAGACGAATAAGCGATCGATCGATCGGTCTGTCAGCTGGTGGTTTCGAGAGCGTAGACATTCAGCAAATAGAAGAACTATGTGGATCGTAAAAATGAGAAATTTAGGTGACACGCTATCACTCAGAGGATTTGGACAAAGCGTTGAGCTTATCCAACCCGATTTTACGTCCTCCATTACTAATCTGTGTACATTATCATCGTGTTGTAATTCCACAAGGCGGTCCCCCGTCGAGGAAGGTTGTTTATTGCACATTACAGTTGGGATATCCGTAACTTGGCAAACAAATAACAGAGAGCTAGCTCATTTGAAACATGTCATCGCAATTCCCGGCAGCACACGGAGTAACTGACTGGAGTCCGTAGTTATTCTTTGGGGCACAGCAATTCGCCCTCAGTGATCTTGTTTATTTTTGATCGTTAAAGGATATCGCCAACCGCACTATTTTGCATATTATTCACTACAGTGAGTAGTACATCACAACAACCGTACTTTGAAATACCGCCAAGCTAACAATGCATACAAGTAAGCGCGAATGTGTAAGACGGCTGGGTTTGGATCTATTTGGGAGGGGGGGGGGAACAAAAATGAAATTCCATGGTCACCACAGGGATGACGCAATCTACTTGTGCATAATTGATTCTTCACGAATTTAGGTCTGATAAGAATTGGCAACAAGAACGCCACTACCATTGGGTTACTTCCATTTATTTCACTGTCCAACCATCCAACCTTGCCTTAGAAGCTCATTCGGTGGAGTCCGGTGAATTCTAAGGAAAACCTGTCGAGGCAGTCAGCTTACATGGAACTGGTGATGCCACATGCCTGTGTAAGTTGGATGGGTAAATTGGAATGTGAAAAAGATCAGTGCTATAGGCGTGCCTCGTAGCTCAGCTGGTAGAGCATGCGCGTACAAAGCGTAGGCGGCGTCCATGCGTCGCCTCGTAGCTCAGCTGGTAGAGCATGCGCGTACAAAGCGTAGGCGGTGTCCATGCGTGCCTAGCTGGTAGAGCATGCGCGAAAAGATCAGTGCTATCGGTGTGGCTTCGTAGCTCAGCTGGTAGAGCATGCGCGTACAAAGCTAAATCGGCGTCCATGCGCTGTGGCCTCGTAGCTCAGCTGGTATGCATGCGCGTACAAAGCGTAGGCGGTGTCCATGCGTGGGTTCCAACCCCACCGAGGCTACTTGCGCGTACAAAGCGTAGGCGGCGTCCATGCGTCGGTTCCAATCCCACCGAGGCTACTGATTTTTCACAATCGACATAGAAACTTCAAATCTGCCAAACAACTATTTGAACAATTCACCCTGTGTAAGTTGGATGAGTAAATTGGAATGTGAAAAAGATCAGTGCTATCGGTGTGGCCTCGGGTAAGTTGGATGGGTAAATTGGAATGTGAAAAAGATCAGTGCTATCGGTGTGGCCTCGTAGCTTTGGTAGAGCATGCGCGTACAAAGCGTGGGCGGTGTCCATGCGTGCGTTCGAATCCCACCGCGGGTAGAGCATGCGCGTACAAAGCGTAGGCGGTGTCCATGCGTGGGTTCCAACCCCACCGACTTAGAGCATGCGCGTACAAAGCGTGGGCGGTGTCCATGCGTGCGTTCGAATCCCACCGAGGACACTTTTCACAATCGACATAGAAACTTCAAATCTGCCAAACAACTATTTGAACAATTCACCCTGTGTAAGTTGGATGAGTAAATTGGAATGTGAAAAAGATCAGTGCTATCGGTGTGGCCTCGGGTAAGTTGGATGGGTAAATTGGAATGTGAAAAAGATCAGTGCTATCGGTGTGGCCTCGTAGCTTTGGTAGAGCATGCGCGTACAAAGCGTGGGCGGTGTCCATGCGTGCGTTCGAATCCCACCGCGGGTAGAGCATGCGCGTACAAAGCGTAGGCGGTGTCCATGCGTGGGTTCCAACCCCACCGACTTAGAGCATGCGCGTACAAAGCGTGGGCGGTGTCCATGCGTGCGTTCGAATCCCACCGAGGAGCATGCGCGTACAAAGCGTAGGCGGTGTCCATGCGTGGGTTCCAACCCCACCGAGGCTACTTGCGCGTACAAAGCGTAGGCGGCGTCCATGCGTCGGTTCCAATCCCACCGAGGCTACTGATGATTGGAATGTGAAAAGATCAGTGCTATCGGTGTGGCCTCGTAGCTCAGCTGGTAGAGCATGCGGAAAAGATCAGTGCTATCGGTGTGGCTTCGTAGCTCAGCTGGTAGAGCATGCGCGTACAAAGCTAAATCGGCGTCCATGCGCTGTGGCCTCGTAGCTCAGCTGGTATGCATGCGCGTACAAAGCGTAGGCGGTGTCCATGCGTGGGTTCCAACCCCACCGAGGCTACTTGCGCGTACAAAGCGTAGGCGGCGTCCATGCGTCGGTTCCAATCCCACCGAGGCTACTGATTTTTCACAATCGACATAGAAACTTCAAATCTGCCAAACAACTATTTGAACAATTCACCCTGTGTAAGTTGGATGAGTAAATTGGAATGTGAAAAAGATCAGTGCTATCGGTGTGGCCTCGGGTAAGTTGGATGGGTAAATTGGAATGTGAAAAAGATCAGTGCTATCGGTGTGGCCTCGTAGCTTTGGTAGAGCATGCGCGTACAAAGCGTGGGCGGTGTCCATGCGTGCGTTCGAATCCCACCGCGGGTAGAGCATGCGCGTACAAAGCGTAGGCGGTGTCCATGCGTGGGTTCCAACCCCACCGACTTAGAGCATGCGCGTACAAAGCGTGGGCGGTGTCCATGCGTGCGTTCGAATCCCACCGAGGACACTTTTCACAATCGACATAGAAACTTCAAATCTGCCAAACAACTATTTGAACAATTCACCCTGTGTAAGTTGGATGAGTAAATTGGAATGTGAAAAAGATCAGTGCTATCGGTGTGGCCTCGGGTAAGTTGGATGGGTAAATTGGAATGTGAAAAAGATCAGTGCTATCGGTGTGGCCTCGTAGCTTTGGTAGAGCATGCGCGTACAAAGCGTGGGCGGTGTCCATGCGTGCGTTCGAATCCCACCGCGGGTAGAGCATGCGCGTACAAAGCGTAGGCGGTGTCCATGCGTGGGTTCCAACCCCACCGACTTAGAGCATGCGCGTACAAAGCGTGGGCGGTGTCCATGCGTGCGTTCGAATCCCACCGAGGAGCATGCGCGTACAAAGCGTAGGCGGTGTCCATGCGTGGGTTCCAACCCCACCGAGGCTACTTGCGCGTACAAAGCGTAGGCGGCGTCCATGCGTCGGTTCCAATCCCACCGAGGCTACTGATTTCTCCTTAGAAGCTCATTCGGTGGAGTCCGGTGAATTGTAAGGAAAACCTGTCGAGGCAGTCAGCTTACATGGAACTGGTGATGCCACATGCCTGTGTAAGTTGGATGGGTAAATTGGAATGTGAAAAAGATCAGTGCTATAGGCGTGCCTCGTAGCTCAGCTGGTAGAGCATGCGCGTACAAAGCGTAGGCGGCGTCCATGCGTCGCCTCGTAGCTCAGCTGGTAGAGCATGCGCGTACAAAGCGTAGGCGGTGTCCATGCGTGCCTAGCTGGTAGAGCATGCGCGAAAAGATCAGTGCTATCGGTGTGGCTTCGTAGCTCAGCTGGTAGAGCATGCGCGTACAAAGCTAAATCGGCGTCCATGCGCTGTGGCCTCGTAGCTCAGCTGGTATGCATGCGCGTACAAAGCGTAGGCGGTGTCCATGCGTGGGTTCCAACCCCACCGAGGCTACTTGCGCGTACAAAGCGTAGGCGGCGTCCATGCGTCGGTTCCAATCCCACCGAGGCTACTGATTTTTCACAATCGACATAGAAACTTCAAATCTGCCAAACAACTATTTGAACAATTCACCCTGTGTAAGTTGGATGAGTAAATTGGAATGTGAAAAAGATCAGTGCTATCGGTGTGGCCTCGGGTAAGTTGGATGGGTAAATTGGAATGTGAAAAAGATCAGTGCTATCGGTGTGGCCTCGTAGCTTTGGTAGAGCATGCGCGTACAAAGCGTGGGCGGTGTCCATGCGTGCGTTCGAATCCCACCGCGGGTAGAGCATGCGCGTACAAAGCGTAGGCGGTGTCCATGCGTGGGTTCCAACCCCACCGACTTAGAGCATGCGCGTACAAAGCGTGGGCGGTGTCCATGCGTGCGTTCGAATCCCACCGAGGACACTTTTCACAATCGACATAGAAACTTCAAATCTGCCAAACAACTATTTGAACAATTCACCCTGTGTAAGTTGGATGAGTAAATTGGAATGTGAAAAAGATCAGTGCTATCGGTGTGGCCTCGGGTAAGTTGGATGGGTAAATTGGAATGTGAAAAAGATCAGTGCTATCGGTGTGGCCTCGTAGCTTTGGTAGAGCATGCGCGTACAAAGCGTGGGCGGTGTCCATGCGTGCGTTCGAATCCCACCGCGGGTAGAGCATGCGCGTACAAAGCGTAGGCGGTGTCCATGCGTGGGTTCCAACCCCACCGACTTAGAGCATGCGCGTACAAAGCGTGGGCGGTGTCCATGCGTGCGTTCGAATCCCACCGAGGAGCATGCGCGTACAAAGCGTAGGCGGTGTCCATGCGTGGGTTCCAACCCCACCGAGGCTACTTGCGCGTACAAAGCGTAGGCGGCGTCCATGCGTCGGTTCCAATCCCACCGAGGCTACTGATGATTGGAATGTGAAAAGATCAGTGCTATCGGTGTGGCCTCGTAGCTCAGCTGGTAGAGCATGCGGAAAAGATCAGTGCTATCGGTGTGGCTTCGTAGCTCAGCTGGTAGAGCATGCGCGTACAAAGCTAAATCGGTGTCCATGCGTGGGTTCGAATCCCACCGAGGCTACTGAACTTTTCACAATCGACATACAACCATCAGTTGCCTGGTCTTTTGGACTCCACACCATCTGTTGACCTCCATGTGACTTTCTCTATCTGCAAATAAGGCGCGTTGCGTTAGACGAACGTACCTTTCCTAACCGGCCAAGCATACACATACACGGTTATGTCATCCCAGCTGGGCCAAACTACATAAGCACCGATTGTGAACAAATTTCCAATCAATGGATGTCTTTTCTAGTGGGAAATTCAGTGTCACTACCGTAACAACGGGCCTGACTGAACGCTGGTACAATGTAGACGACTGTTCAGCCACATTGAAATGTCGCGTCTACGCGAAATGGATTTCAGTCCCGTTGCCCAAGCCTTGGAATGGCGTGCGATTATTTCCTTCACTGTGCAGCGCAATCATTGGTCACACAATAACCTACTAAGTACGGGGAGTAAGTCACTAGCACTACGACCCGGCCATTTAGTTAATTTCAAAGCGGTACTTGTCTTTCGGCATCACTTTTGCACGCTAAAGGGACAAGGCACCGAACGAACAGAGTAAGTAAACTTTTTACTCTGTACACTGTACACTTTAAGCGTCCTCCATTCGCCAAGACAGACGATGTCGTCGGCATACTGCTACCAACAGTTTGGAGACCACTCAGTGCGTTCTCCCGTATTTCGTCTTCAATGAAATTGAACAAGAATGGCGAAATGGATCTCCATTGACCGACAGTGCTGTTGGGAATGAATGACCCTTGTGAATGTTATAGTATTAATAACACAGCGATGTCGGCAGAGAATTATATTCGCCGACGTTTCGGTTACCGTGGGTAACCTTTCTCAAGGCAGGTTTTACAATCAAATGACTCAGAGGAAAGGATCACAAGTTAAAGGATATTTCATCGTGTGTATGTCTATGTGTATGACCCTTATTCAACTGTAAATTTGCAATCCAGGTGAACTCAATAAATGAGCATACCTCTGGGGCATTCCTTTGCGAAGAAGCGAATCCAATGGAACTTGGCAATCAACTGAGTTCAAGGCTCCTATCAGAGAAAGGAACTCCGGTATCTTTGATTGACTATGTGTATGACACAACTAGACGATTTGGAAAACGTAAAATTTGACCACAACACACGAGACTCAGTCTGGTATTCATGCATATTGGCTTACCTCAGCGATGTCCAAATTTGCAGTTTCAACTGAAGCCAATAAGTTGGTAACGGTCGGGAATAACTCTTAATTCGTGACGGTTTGTGCAGTTCATGTGAAAAACGGACTGATCAGGAATTTACCCCAAGGTGATAGAATGCACTTCTGCGACTAGGTCTCATACTTTAAACTAATTATAGAGCCTATGAGAGGCCACTTCACAAACACTGATGATGTCACCTCGGCTGGTGATGAAACGTTTGCAAACAAATTGCCAAGCTCGGCGAACAGGCGAAATGGAATTCAGTTCACCCGAGCTACGAAAACCGATTTTCAATATTTTGTCAAAACCTATGAGACTATCAGTTCCTCTACCCCACCACTGCAACTCAAATTTGGTGGTGGTCGGTAGCTTTGCTGTCGTCCGGTGTGGTGGGACCTTATGCGGTTCACCATTCAAATTCCCGGGCTGCTTAGAGATTGCCGGTTTCCATCACCGAAATAGCAGGTTATCGTGACTATGGTTGTTCGCCCGATCTGTTGCTCATAACACAAAATATGTGCAATAAAAACTGGTTTCATAACACCATAACACATGGTATTCAGGTATACTCCTAAAAAGATTTGGGACTGTCTGAACTTCGGAATCACTCCACTCATGAGGAATTACTGTCCTTACTTTGAGGGTTAGTATGGAATACCTTTTCAAGCACATAAACTCGCCCGGTAAATAGAGCTCATACGTTTTCATTCGGGTTCAACACCGGGCCGCGGACTTCCACGTATATTCATTATATCGATATTTCAGTGTAACACTCGAATTTGAGTGAGGTGAACTTTTTATAAGTATGGAGGCATTATCTAGTTGAATCATACTGGTTCCCAATCAATTTTTATAAAATCCCGGCCAGAAGAAACTCGCTACATACGTAGAAATGACATCCCTGGTCATGTCAGGGGTCCCCACAGTAGGCTTGATGTTTTTAAGGTTAGCTTGATCCTATTTAGGTCACAGCGGTGAAGAACGGAGCTGTCAGGACCGTCTAGGTCAAAATTTCCCCCGTCCCGGAGTACCAACACTTGCATTCAGAAATTCATTCAGAATTCACGCAAATCGATCGATAACATGACGGTACATTATCCATAATTTTGTCGTCATTTTCCAAAATTATCAGCTTTGTGCAGTTTGTAACAGTAGCTATCTAGATCACACACGTACACTCAAAAGTTATGACAGTCATGGTAGCGACACATCTGTTCCCTCACTTGAAGTAGCACGTAAGAGCTTCCTCGTTCCTTGGTCAGAGATATTTCATCAAATTCTGTATTTCTTCTTTACTTTATACTGACTTGGGTGGGCCGAAATCCTACGAACTATCCGCCGACGATAGTTGTACTACCTCTGAATGGGTGGACTATTGCGTCCATTTTAGGGCATCCACCTCCTCTTTGGTTTGTATCGTATACTTTAGTCTCACCTGTGGCTCCACGAAGCTGAAACATGCAACAGCAGCAGCTGCCATATCTCGGGAAAATCGGTCGAGAAGCGGGATGAGTCGAGTTGATGGCAACTGAGATAGAGAAGCCCTGACATACGTCATGCGAAGACTGAATGGGAGGACGAAATCTACTACCTGATCCAACGGCTATGAAGGAAGCCTATCCGACTAATACGAATGCATAAACCCCTGGGTAGGAGCTACATGTTTCGAGTGGCAATTGGTGAGAAGAATGGACGGAGAGAGAGAGAGTAAGCGTTTGAGGGTGGACCGTGGAAGACAAATAATTAAACAAAGCATATGGTTGATTGAATGACCTGTGAGCGGTGCGTGAACGTCAAGTTTAAAGGACGGGAATTGAAAAAGTTTGACATGTCTAAGTGTGTGATGGTGGCTTAGTGGTTTAGTCGCTGTCACAGGCATGCTTTAGACCCTATGGTCCGAGGTTCAAGCCCCGTTATCGCCATTCAACTTTGGTGATAGGCAGCTTTGTTGTCGTCTCGTTCAATACCACGCCTAACCTATCGGGGTCTTGTGTGGTTCGCCAGTTACCGGTTTCTATCACTGAACAGCAGATCCTCGTGACTCTGGGGTTTACCCCGTCTGCTGTTCATCACACCAAAGTGTGTAATAAAAAAAAACAAAGCAGTAGACCACTTGTCACTACCCACCACGATCGAGTGGCGCGGTCCCGATTATCCTGCGCGACGATCGATGCAACGGCAAAGGAAAAAATACCTTCCAAAAAACGCTCTTAATCGGGCACTGTCTGTTCACTGTCCCACTCGATGAGTTCGTATGTGTAGAGAAGGTCATTCGAGGGGCTTGAAGAACCAAGTATCCTAGACAAACTTTGATGAAGTGAGTAAGTTGATCATCGAATAAGAATAAATACAAACTTTGATACTACTTGATAGCTTTAATTTATTGAATACGCATGCAGGACAACTTATCCCGACAAACATTCGATGATTCCGAAATTCAGATGTCTGAAATTCGCAAAAATATCACTCACCGTAACCGAAACTGTGCAAACCAAAATGGCCGGGGTGTATTGTTTTTCCTACTTAGGTAGCTGCGTGACCAATGAAGGTAGTGCAGCAAAAGAGGTAACCGCTTGCAGTTCCAAACCTCGAGCGGTATACGCAGGATTGAAACAACTTTTTGGCACAGACGCGACGTTTCATTGAAGTTAAAAGGCCTTGTACATTGTACTAGCTTTCGTTTAGTTCTGCTTTATCGTTATGAGACCTTGAATTTGAGAGTGGAAGATATCCGTCGACTAGAAGTTTTCGATTATTGGTGTTTCCATGGTTTACCCCATGTGGGATGGAGCGAACGGGGTTAGTAATTTGGACGTAAGTCGTCGTGTATTTGAGAATTTACCAGGGATAAATCTGTTAGCACACCGAATTCAGATTACTAGGCTTCGCTGGCTAGGGCACTTATTGCGTATGCCTAGCTGCCATCTGTCGCNCGCACTGCGCTTTATTCACTGTAGTCGCTCCAAACTGGAGGGAACCACGTGCAGAAGTCAACAGATGACGTGGAGACGAGGTATGAAGAAATGCACAGAGCCATTAGGTAGAGTAAGTGTCTCTCCCCTTCCAGCTAGAGGTTGGAAAGACTCCACAACTGGTTGGTCGGAGACATTTAAGGATATGACGGCGAACTGACAGCAGTGGCGTTCTTGTTGTCGTTTCTTAACAGGCTAGAACGCTTGAAACGGTATTCATACAGAGTTCGATTGTGCACTCTGTGTGTGTTGACCATAGAGATTCACCTTCTTCTCCCTCGATCAAATTAGGTCCAATCCCTGTCCACGTTGAATTTTACCACTAACCTTTTATACATTACGAGTTTGGCAGCGATCAGTGAAGTTCGCCTCAATGTATTTCACTGTATGATGATAGTGATGATGAAACTGTGCAAAACAAACTCCGTTATAAACCGTCCTATCATGATTACCCGCAACGTGTTTAATGTCGGTTCTTTTTTCTCTCTTGTTTCATTGCTCCAGGTACTCCATATGCCATGAATCCCGGTACTTCATCTAGATACGGTAACAGCGATACAGAAGAAAGCTCCGATGCGGATAGTGCGCCAAACCATGGAACCGAATTAGATACGATTTTCGAACTGGATGAAGCAAGTGTGTTCAGTTCCAGGGATCTCTGCTCCAATCAGTCGCGTAAACGAGACCGTACCAGGCCACCTCTTGGCCGACTACGGCGGGAGACACCGCGAACTGCAGCCACGACCCAACAATTGGAGTTTCCGGGTATCTTCGTGGAAGGATTCCGCGATGGTCACGTTGGATTTAATATACCTGGGGTTATGCAAGATTCGTTAAAGCCCACAGACTCCATAGAGGTGAAAATTAACCTATTCACACCGGAAAAACAGTCTGATTTCGACGTGACCTCCACACATCATCGTTATCCTGACTGCTCATCCCGATTCGGCTCTATTGCCGGATCTTATGCATCACCACAGAAGCCCTCAAACACGGGTACATCCAGCCGGTTCGGAATGTCTTGGTTCCAAGATAACAATGCGAATGATCCGTCGGCGAGTCGATTCGATCCACTGGAAACAACCAATCCCAATATGCATTCCATCCAAACACAGCCCAGTTTCCAACCTTCTGAGAGTTCATTTGGTCTAGGCACTATGGAGAATACGCGTAACGAGTCGGGCTCGTTACACGCGGGTAATCGATTTTTCTCAGCTCATCACCAGCCTCCTTTTGGACATAATTCAACCGATTCCGGTCTGCATTCCAATGGTGGCCTTGCCCCAGATCTGTGCTGTCCAGACAATTCCGCACTGACATCCGAATATTCTGAATTGCCTTCGAGATTTCTGAGATTTGGTATCCGGTGAAAACAATCCACCCCTCCCCCCCCTCTGCCCCAGTCCCCGGTTATCCCGTTCCGCAACCTCCCCATGGCGGAACTCTCCAGGTCTCACCAACACTTTTTTGCCTCGCCCAAAAGCGTTTCCGATCTCGAACAATCTCTTCCCATCTAGCTCCTAATCTCTCTCTCTCTCTCGATCCGCATTGTAATAAATCCATTTGCTGTATAACTTTCATAGAATTTTTTTCAAGCCCAATCTCACTTTCGAGAAAACAAAACACACACACTACATGGTGGCTCAACCAGTTTTTTTTTCGAAAACTCAAACCCATGCAAACTTTCATCATTCACGCATCTCAGGTAACCAAGGTGATTCGACAATCCGTGTCTTAGAATTCCACTGAAAAAACTACCCACCCATCCACCCACCCTCTTCTCAGTTCACTTCATTTCATACCGCATTATCGTCCGTGTGAGGTGTAAAGCATTCTCCGTTTCGCGGACCATTTGCACATTGCCTTGGTTTCAACTTTTCTGTTTTANTTTATTGTGGTGTTGATGTTATTTTTTTGCTATAGGATGATGATTCGCTATTATTTCCACCATTGTTATTATTATTATTATTATTATATTATTATTATTATTATTATTTTGATGTACTTATTTCGTATTTTGTATACTACTACCACTACTGCTGACCAGTGAAAACACGAAAACTTGTCTCTTGTTCGTCTGAATTTTGTTTGAACGCATGGACTCGGGGATAAGTGAACACGACAAGGGGTTTTTTGTTAGGAAATATCTCTGGTTGTATGGGGGCCATAGTTCGTGGGTGTGTGCATGCTGAGACGATCAACAAGTTGCGTTTTTCGGAGTAACGGCTAGGTACGTTTACGAAATCTTCTTAATCTCTGTGCGCACAATCGACTGTAGACTGGGATCCAATCGAAGGGTGTGTGGCTTCAGCTCTCTCACTGAGAACCATGCCAACACCAGAAAGACTGGCAGCCGCAGCATGAGTGTCCCGCGAGAGAGGCATAGGTGAAACCTCGCAGTATGGTTTCATGGGAACGTCAATCGGACGGTGGACTCAGATCCTTGAATGCGAGTCCCTCGGACACAACATACACAGATGACTAGGATTTCGAGGGTACAAGCTGAAAATGCCTAATGTCCTATACACATACACACATTAAACTGTGGTTAGTTCGAAAGCGCATCGAGGACGAAGAACAGTCTCAACTAATGGAGACGTATTCGGTTAGATTTGGACTTTAGTCAACATGGGACGCGAAAGAATAGGTGTGTATGATATTTATCTGAGGCAGGATCATCTGGAGGTCCCGAAGATGTACAGAGAGAGGGAATATGAGATGGAGAAAAAGAGAAACAAATTGTGTATGATGTAGAATGTACTTAAAGTCTGTACCTGCTTCGCTCGAAAAAAAACTAGACGGTCAGGAATTGGCTGAAATCCCGATCGCTCGGGTAAGTGGCTTATACAATGTCAGCTCCACGAAAAGCCTCAAGCATGACCGCGAGAATTGGTGGGCAACTATAGGTAGTGAAATGGAAGTAGCAACTGCATCAGGAATTAGTAAATGATTACTCCAACTGAATACGTAACACGGGAGATGAGCATCATCGTACAGTGAGATACAGCGAGTGAGGCGTATGCCCAGCTGTTTGTGTGTGTGTGTGTTGACCACAGAGATTCACCTTCTTCTCCCTCGATCAAATTAGGTCCAATCCCTGTCCACGTTGAATTTTACCACTAACCTTTTATGCATTACGAGTTTGGCAGCGATCAGTGAAGTTCGCCTCGCTGTATTTCCTTGTACGATGATGTTGATGACATGTGAACCGTGGATAAAACTCGTCGGTTTATGCTGTGTTCGGTTTCTCGTGATTACTGCTCATAAACCAGTGGTATTTACATATCACCTCGGCTGGAGATGAAATGATTTTTGTAAACAAATAGTCAAGCGGCTTTGAAACAGGCAGAAATGAATATGTTCACATCTCGGGATTGAATCGCGGGTGGTCAGAACACATATATTGTGCCTTACCTGGGAATAGCGGAGCACTTTGCAAGATTATTTCTTATGGTCGGATTCAGAAAATTTAAACCGCTGTGAATGTTCATTCGCATCTCGAGAGATAGGTTGTCTTGAAGACTCATCGAAATGGTTACGTATGTCACCAACGGCGAGTTATGTTTGCCAAGGCATGTAGCGGTTGTAAAAAGATCAAGGGAGGTCAAACTAAGATCTGGTATGGGGGTATGAAAACCCTACCCAGGAGACTAGGTCCCATTAGGCTCCCTGACTGGAGACCCCAAGATCATAGTCACAGATGAACTGCATCGTTACACGGGGCATCTACCACGATCGAGATTCTAAGCTCCCCGGGATTGGGATTGATGAATCGCACACCAGCCCAGTCGCGGGTCAGGTGTAGTACGAATAAACACGACCCCGGTGAATCGAGTAAGTTGCAGGGGAACTGAATGCCAAAATCACACGGCAGCGTAGAACTCAATGATGAATGAGGTGTTTCGGGAATAGCATTGTTTATAATTTATCTCGGTGGCAGATCCAGGTCCACATAATCCGTGTTTATACGAATATGTATCCGTTTATTTTTTTTGTCAAAAACTGTTTATCACAATTACGACCATTCATTGTTCGGTGACCAATAACCCAAGCTCAGTTAAGTCACGTGATTATCGAGCCAGATCACGTGGCATATATCTACCAATAATGCTATAGATGACTGTGACTGTGTTCGAATCTCAAAAAACTCCAAGACCCAGCGGAGCACACTAGTGGACGCAAATGAACCCGCTCGATCACCCCCCTCTGATTCTTTCAACCTCTTGTTTTTTTTCACTTTTACTTCTGCAAGAGGGCAGCCGGGGGGGGGGCAATAGAATTGATGTCATACAACACACAATGGGGAAAGTTAAAGGTAAGATTCGAACCCATGTCGTCTGAGGTGAGGTGATAATCTGGTGACGTTGCCACCGGACCACCATCGTGTTTGTTTCTCCATACTAGGAAAGTATCATAACTAATGAGCTTGTTTTTCGGGTTTTTACATGAAATAAATGAAACAAATATTGTTCGAATAGTTGTTTGGCCTATTTGAAGTTTGTATGACGATTGTGAAAAATTAATCTTGCCTTAGAAGCTCATTCGATGGAGTCCGGTGAATTCTGAGGAAAACCTGTCGGGGCAGTCAGCTTACATGCTACTAACTGGTGGATGCCATATGCCTCTGTAATTTGGATGGGTATTTCGAGTGTAAAAAGATCAGTGCTCTGTCGGTGTGGCCTTGTAGCTCAACTATTAGATTGTGCGCTGTACAAAAGCATGGGCGGCCTCCATGCGTGGGTTCGAATCCCATCGAGGCTACTGAATGTTTAACGGAAGTGTGACGAACATCAGACGGGATAAACCCCATAGTCACGAGGACCTGCTGTCCAGGGATGGAAACCGGTAACCTAAGCACCTGGACTTGGAGTGGCGGACCATAAAAGGTCCCGATAGCTTAGGTGTGGTATAGAACGGGACGACAAGAAAGCTGCCTACCACCAAAGTTGGGTGGCGGTGGCGGGGCTCGAACCTCGGACTTTGAAAAGTACCTCGGAACTAAGTAGGTACCGAACCACAGAGACTGGATATTATAGTGCAGACAGAGTTGAGTGTTGAGATGAGAATTAATAGATGAGATATAATAGTCTGATCAAGTGCCCAAATAAGTAGTATGTTTCGTTATATTCGTTATATCCCGACCATCACCCACCCACACACTCGTTCGATCGATGAATTCCCAGTAATGGTGCAACCTAGCAAAGTTTTATGTATACCTTTTTCCTTCGCTCTGTATCAAATCGATCTCAATGTTCATTTAAATGCAAACCAAAACTTTGCTATTCCAATGCACTTCTCGTCGTTCATCAATATTAGCCGATGAGCGACCAATCACTTTTGTTCAGAACGTACCAATGGGAAGCAATGTTCAAAATTTGGTGTCAGCATTTCTAAGGAGTGCGGTGAATTGCTCTCACTTCGGCACAAATGGCGTGTGTTGCCACACAGCGATTGGTTTCGATCCATTTTGGTTCGAGTTCGGACGTCAGTAGTACAATGATTTCCTAGAATGCTACTCCGAGTTCCTGCCTCTCTCGCTCTATCTGTCTGGAATCGAGTAGTTACTGCTTTCGAGTTATCTCACCTGAGTTTTATTACGGCGTGTTGGTGTAATTCACTAGCGAAACGGTGACCCTGGTCGAGGATAGCAAAATCTTCCGATGTTTCTATTTCAAGGTCACTGGATTTCCACCCACGCCAGTTAACACGCGGCACATGGATCACAATTGTACTGGTCAAATTCTGTTTGTGTTTGCATATGTGATGACCTGGTCATCGCACGTATGAGTAGTGCTCAAGTGAGGTCAATGGAAAAATCGAATGACTGTTCGACATGTTATACAGGTGAATGATTTTCTGTTTGCATGTTGCGGAAGTCACGCTTAGAAGTGGCCAGTATTTATCGAGAACACGTGATTTGAAATATGGCCAGCTGTCGAAATTCATCTATCATCAGTGTTTGTATGATCACATTCTCACGTGGGCTATTCTGAGAAGCAATGTCTCCGCTGATGAGCATATCTGCCTGTGATAAAACTGAATGCGTAGCTGTTAGGAGAGCATCCACAGAATTCGATATCCATTCAGTTATTTGGTTTTGTAATTTTGTTGAGGAAAACACCTTCATGAGTGGAGGTTGTGCGACGAACTTGATTAGCCGTCCATGATAAAATAAGTAACAATAAACAACGAGGTGTTGGAGGCTGGTGATGGGGTAACTGGATGTGGTCAGCGGTTTTGGGCATGCACTGCGGCATTGTGAGTTAGATAGGGGAATTTTTCACTGATGAGGTTAACCTAAGGACACTTAGAAAGCTTGTTTCACGTCAAATATAAATGAAATCATAAACGTAGCAATAATAATAATAAT